TACTATATATATATATATATATATATATATATATATATATATAACAATGATCCAATCCAACGGTTGTATCAAAGTATAATGCAATGACATTTCTAGAAAACCATGCTTGTGGTATTTGTATGACCCCAAATTTTACACACACTCTCTTTATCTCAATAATCAAAAAAAAAAAAAAAAAAGTTCACTTCGAACCCTAGATATGGTCAAAATGAGTCATCTCAAAAAACAAATCTAGACCATTCATTTTATGAATTTCAAGATCTTAGCCTTTATGAACTCAAAATCATTTTTTTCTTTTTTAACATTGTTCATCTAATAATAATAAAGCCATCTAAAAAAATTAGAAATGGAAAAAATCCTTCTAAGGTCTAGATCTAAGCATATCACCAAAATGAACGGCCTATGTTAATTGGGCTAAAAAAGTACTTTTTAGGTTTTGTTTTCAAATTTTTCTTTTTTTGTGATTGTTCATTAGAATGAAAAGAGTGTATATTTCAAATTTTTGATTAAACAAATGGCTATACGATAGTTTTTTAACATTATTGCATCATATTACTATACAACGGTTGCATGATATCATTGCGTGTGTGTATATATATATAATTTTTTTTCCTTTTCACATTCGAATCTATTTATTGTCAATTTTTTAAAAATATCAAATTGCCTATATTTCGAATATTCAAAATCCAAAACTATACAGTTTTGAATTTAATTGCTTTTACAATTTTTGGATTTTGAATATCCAAAAGTTTTTCAATCAAAAAATTTCTTCTCTCTCTCTTATTGAAAATTTGTAAATCTCAAATTTGTAAAATGATGAGAAACTTTTGGGCTAATTTTTTTTTTAGATATTCAAAATATGATAATTGTATAAATAAAATTTCTAGGCCACATAAATTTTGGATATTCAAACTCCAAAATTATAAAAAAAAAATGAAAATTTTCGGCTAAATAAATTTTTACATATTCAAAATCCAAAAATCGTAAAAAATGAGAAAAATTTTGAGCTGGAAAATTTTTTGGATATTCAAAATCTGTAAATTGTAAAATAACGACTAAATTTAAAAAATGTGTAAACATAGTACAAATACAAAAAATAAAAAAATATTAAGTAAATCTTGAATAACGATAAATAAAACGGATTTACATGTAATTTTCTCTTATTTCTAAATTATAAAAGAAAAACGAGAGCAAGAATTAGAGAATTAATTGCTACTACAGTGAAAAGCTTTCGTAAATAACATCAAAAATAACATCAAAAAGACCTAAAACCACAAGAGACTTTGGAAAAATGAATCACAAAAAAGCCACGAATAAAAGGAAATAACAATGACCCAAAAATAAATGGGATTATCTACAAAAATACCATTTATCTTTTGTATACGGTGATTACAATCATTCTCACTCATTAGATGTCAAATTGGATGGCTTATGATGATTCACAAAATCTGAGAATTGTTTTTTTTTTTTAACTTTGTGTTATTAAATGACCCTCTTACAACCATTTATTTTTAGGGGACAAAAAAAATTGTGATCTCTATGTACAAAAGATAAATAGTCTTTATATATACAATCCCAAAACAAGTACACGATTAA